TTCCAATAGCGACCGGAAGTACTCACGACGCACTAAAAGGCAAACCCGCACATCTAGAAGTCATGTTCTATGCTCTCCAACAAGTCTCCAGTTCATATCTTCACCTGTTCTTTAGATCTCGCGCGGATAAAATTTCATTTTAAAATCAGAAAAATGCCCATATTTTGGAACCGGAAGCGAATTTCTCCAAAACTCTTTCAGGTGTAACAATGACATTTAATAGCGCATTATCCCTAAGTGTTTGATGAAAAACCATTGAATAGTTCTGGAGATATTGCGTGCAGAAAATTTGTCTAAAAAATAAGAAAAATAATAAGAAACAAGGTCTGCCGTGAAGACGAAAGACCTTAATAACTAGAAACCTTGTTGCCATGGCAACAAGAAGGTCTACCGTCCCTTCTCTGTCTTCAGAGAAGTTGATTCCACACTAAACAACATGTTATGTTGTGCATTCCCTGTAACACCTTCATAATAAAATATAATTAAACGTTTATATTTTGAAAATATTGCAAAACTGGAAATGTTGGTATTCCCTGTAACACCTTCATACATAAAATATAATTAAACGTTTATATTTTGAAAGTATTGCAAAACTTGAAGGGAAAAAAATACGAGGAAGGGAGTGGGGGGGGGGGGGGAGTTATGTCCAAAACATCTTTGTGTGAAATTTATTAAAATCTGAGATGCACACACTTAATTGTACAAAATTAAAATGATGATAAATAAGGATAAGATTTTTTTAAATTTAAGACCTATCTACACTTAATTGTTTTATTTTACCTGATTTCATGCATTTATTTACCCCCCTCCCCCCCCCCCCCTCCTTGAGTCAGCACCACACATGCATATCAAATTGATTGATACTTTACTGATGTATTACGTGAAAACATATTTTTCACATACTGTTTTGTGTACACAGATTTTTTGTGTGTCTTATTGTGTTAATACACTCTTGGTTGTGCAGAGATAATAGTTTTGACAGGCAGGATTGATGATTAATACAAATTTTGCTTTCCTCAGAAAGCTCCTTTTTTGTTTTATTTCTGATTGAGTGAACGTGAAATACATCAGAACACAAATGTTTATTACTTGTAACTAAAACTAACATATCAGGAGAATTGGATTGTATTAAAGGAATACTGTTAAGTCGTTTTAATTCCACGATGTTAAATTTCACGATTTTTCAAAAAGTACCAATCACGATGGTTTTAAGTTCGCGCTTGCAAGAAATTAATTTAAATTTCGTATAAGCATTTAAACGTTTTTAAAAACTACTGAATGATGATTCGCGAACATAGTGAAATTAAAACCATAGTGATTATTTGCCAGTCTACAGTAATATCACTAGTTTTTAGTCACTACTGATTCTGGAAATAATTTAACTAATGGAAGTGTTTTTTATTAAGATGAAGTAATCGTAAATAAGATGATTTACACACACAACAGATAAAGCATCACGGCAGCGGAATATTAACTCATATATTAGGGAAGCTTTATTTTATTAATAAATATCAGAATAACTTTAAGACAAAAAGTAAATTCTATATCTCTGTTCATCTGTAAAGAAATTCGCCGATTTACAAATTGTATCAAAGCAAGCAAACTTTCAAGAAAATATATTTTCGGTCTTTAGTACATTTAAAATCGACCAGAGGTCGATTTCGGGTTAAGAGAAATATTTTATGTTGTTGTTGGGTGAGGCGCGCGCCCGCATGTGTGTGTGTGGGGGGGGGGGGGGGGGTTAGTAAAAATATACAATAAATTTCTTGACTTTACATATATTTACTTCACAGGATTTTATTTGAAAACTGCATGTGAAAATAAAGCATTACTCAACCAAAACAAATTATTGAAACTCTCTGTAAGCCTTTGTTATGACCAACATTTTTTAGAAAAGGAAAAAACTTCAATATTTTACCAATATTTCCAGTTGACAATGGAAGTGACGGCATACGAAAACAGTTATTTAATACTACAAGTCAAGATGTATCAACCCTGAAAGTTTCATGACTCAATGTTTCTGAGACATAGGCAAACTAAACGTTATTCTGACAATGGAATATCAGATATTACTCGTATACGGAACTATTTTTTTCAAAAAACAATGCTAGCATATGAAGTTGGCGTTTAATTCCTTATAAAATACTCAAGATTGGGGAGAATTCATGTATTACTCCCTATGGTATAACATATACAAATTTCTAACAAAAATATAAAGCCACTTTCGATTTGGACAAACCATACTTCCCCTGGAAGTGATATAACATGAGGCACTCTCTGAACTTTTAAAACAAATTATATATAAAGTACTAAAATCCCATACTAAAATCATAAAAAAATATTGAAAAACAAAAAGTTGAAAAACTTGACTTTTTTAATTCGCTTCCGGTAGCGACCGGAAGTAATGACGCTACACGAAAAGGCGATTCCACACATCTGGAAATCATGTTCTATGCTCTCCAGCAAGTCTCCAGTTCATATGTTTAGTCTTTCTTTAGATCTTGCACTGACAAAATTTAATTTTAAAATCAGATAAATGTCCCATAAATTTCAAAATTTTATGAATGTGTATATTTAATGAAATTTGTAATGAAAAATATTCGTTATACTAATAAAAAAAATGTGTTAAAATATCGTCAGCGGGGGTCTTAAAATTACTTCGTTATAGCCGTAAAGTCGTTATAGCCATGCTCGTTATATACTGCAATTTTCTATAGGTTTATATAAGGACTTTGACGGGACATGAATAAAAATTCGCTATAGCCGTAAATTCGCTATATCCGTGTTCGTTATATTCAAGTTTTGCTGTACCATTATGAAACCTTATGCAGGTCAAATGGGATGAAACTTTAAAGATTTAATTAAACTTTTTAAAAAAAATTGAATTGCTGTTAAGGTCATATTCAGTATTTGGATAGGCATAAATTAAAAGACCATTTAATGCCATTTGGAACTTTTTGGAGGTCAAATAAGATGGAATTTCAATGATTTAAATTTTTCCAAAAAAAAATTGCTTCAAAATATTAAAACAAGAACAGACTCCAGGTGTTTTGAATGAAAAAGAACATCATCTAATGTCATTTGGAACCTTTTACAGGTCAAATGGGTAGCCCGCGTGGTGCAGTGGTTAGAGCTCTACAGTAGCGGGGTAAGGAGCTGATTCTTGTCGCGGGTTCGAATCCACTGTGGGACGTCAAGACCAGTCCTTTGGATGAGACCCTATAGACCGAGGTCCCATGTCACAGAACGTGTTGGGACGAAAAAGGTCCCTCACTGCTCAATGACTCTGAGTGCCAATTATAGGTCTAAATTTGCAGCCCTACACCGGCAAGTGGTGGTGTCTCTATATGAGGGAAATATTCTGCAGAGGGACGTAAAACAATAAACAAACAAAGAAAGGGCTAGGTCAAATGTGATAAAATTTTGACAATCTCAATTTTTTTGAACATTAAAATTGCTTCCAAATGTTAAACCAAGCTCATATTACATAGAAAATGAACATTATGCATTATTTTGTCACAAGGAGGGGATTGGTGGTCGGTGGTTGGGTAGAACACTGAGACCATACTGTGCTTTACATGGCTATAAAGATGACTAGATGAAATCCCGCGCAAGCGCGGGGAATTGCATTTATACCACTACCGACAGAAAATTCCAATAATATATATTATAGTTTCTACTGACAGCCTACAGGCTTACACCAGGAAGAAATACTTTGTTCAAAATCCTGCATTTAGCTTTGAAGCAGAAGTAGATGTACGTAACCACCCCCCCCCCCTTTTGTAAAAACATGAAAAATAAAATTTCATTAACGTTTATTGTGAAACCTGTTATACTATGTTATGGATATTGTACTTCAGGTGCTTTTATTTCATTTCCGTCAAGGATAAAAGCAGCGAATATGCTCATTTTAATAATAAATTGATTTTTTAACACCCTATGAATAGGCCGAGTATTTGATACAAAGACTGTATTTAGAAAAAAGCACAAAATTTTTACTGCTTTAATTGTATTTGAACAATACCTTATTCATTAGTTTTCTCTTTTCATGTAAGCAAATTTATTACAAAGTACAAATTGTACTTCGGGTTCGTTGCTACTATGCTCTCAGTGAGGAATATACAAATTTTACCGATAAATTTATTAGTAAAACCTGCTAATATTCTTTCGATATAAAAATACATGTATATTCACAACTTATTGTGTTATCAATAATTTACCATTATTTCATTGACCATTAACACAAAAGCTTTTTTTTATGTTAATGAAGCTATAATCGCCTCGTTTTTTATGTTTAGCTATATGATGTTCTAGAAGTTTCCGCACTATTAAGATCGGTGAATGACAAAAACAATTTGCACATTTCCCTTTTTAATCGGTTATCACAACTTATTTCTTTTATATCATTTAAATCAAGTTCTGATTGAATAATTCAGTGATGACGTTTTATGAAATAAATAAACGATGGCTTGTTGTCAGTTTCATTAAAAATTGCCACTAACTTAGATCAGCCAACCGGAACCGCCACCGTACTCACGTTTTTACTATTTCATGGCTGTTTATAGAAAATGAAAGTAAACTTTTAATTTAATGCACGATACTTACTATGCGAATGAAATCTGAATATAGATTACGGACATCATCTTGTATCTTGTGTATTCATAAAGGAGATAGTAAGAACACTGGTGCATCCGTTTCGGAGTTTATTTGCAAAATTTATTAATTTATTAATCTAAAGTATAGATTTATGCATATCAATATCTCGATCAGTGCCAATTAAAAATCATAAAATGCAATTTATTTAATAGATTGAAGATCATCATACAATCCGTGTCAGTCATTGATGCACTCTAGGGTGAAAGAAGGTCACATTGTTCTCATGTTGGATTTTTTTGCCATCGGACTTCTATTAAAAATATGCTGATTTAAGTTGCTATAATTGTAATATTACTGAAGACATGTTTAACAATAAATTTTTCTATTGATATAATTTTTTTCAGTCACCAAATGTTGTGGGATTAGCTACCAGTGCTGGCAAAGTGGCATGTTTGATGAAGTACAGATCAAAGAAAAAGAATGAATAAAATCAGACATTATCATTAATTAATATACTAGAAATTGATATAGCTTATTGTGCCTTCAAAATTGCAATATTCTGTGATGAGATAGTTGTTCATGTATTAATTGGAAATTGTACATCTCAATTATGAATTATTTTGTGATTGTTATTTTGATAAACTCAATTAAGGTGCTTTGTAAAGTATTCTAGTTTAGCTGAGCATCTTTTATTTGGTGGCATCTTTAAAAAATCTTTTTCTCAAGAACCACTGGGCCAGAAAAGTTGAAACTTAGAAGAAAGCTTCATTACATATTATAAATTCAAGTATGTTCAAATCATGACCACAGAGGTAGGGCAGGACAACAAGTTTTACATAGGAATATATAGAAAATATCTTATTAAAAAATTCTCAAGAACAAAAAAGCCGTAACAAGAAACCCATGGGCTACAACGCTCACCTGAGGACTTTGGCTAGAAAAAAAAATCAGAAATCAGTTCAGTATTGATAATCGGTTGATAATCAGTATTGATAATCATTGAAGCGGAACGTTATATAAACTTCATCTATTAACTCATCAAGGTAGACTCACATAACAAAAATCAACTCAATTTCTATCTACAAGCATTTAAAAAATTGGGGAAAACCCTTTAAAATTAAAAAAAAGAAGGCCACAATTCCCTTACAAAAAATCATGGAAGAGGAACGAAATCCAAACTTGATCTTAACTCATTAAGATACAATCTCCCAAAAATCAGCTCAATATCTGCTAGCGTTTAAAAAAAGTGCGGAGAACCACGTGGGAAAGACAGATGAAGGGACGGACGGACGGACAGACATGGAGGAAACCTATAGTTCCATCCTGTTTCACGGGTAGGGGATTAATAAGCTTGAATCTACACTAAGTGGGTATGCTTCCATATCAATACTAGTATTACTTGTCATGGCTTTGCTGTTTTTGGAGAGAATTTTAAAGATTTTTCCTATCTATTCTTATATAAACCTTTGATCACCCATGTTGCCCGCTAGACCCCCAGGGGTCTTGATTTGTACATAATTGAATCTACACTACCTGAAGATGCTTCCATATGAATAGATGTTTAACTAATCATGACTTTATTGCTCTTGAAGAGAAGATTTGTCAAAGATTTTTCCTATTTATTCCCATGTAAAACTTTGGTTACCCACTGTGGCCCAACCCTACCACCCAGCGGTCATTATTCGAACAAACTTGAATATACGCTACAATACGCTGAGGATGTTTCTAATTTATAAATATGACTGACCAAAAGTAAAATGTTGAAAAATAGAAAGACATGAATTTCCAATGGAAAAAGAAGCTCAAGATCTATACCAAGAAAAATGAGAGACCTGACTAAAAGTGAAGGAATAGTAACATTCGAAGAAGATGATACAAGAAGAGGCCTAGGGTCAATCAATTTTCTTATCTTTGTAGTATCATAAACAAAACAGGGGAACTGATATAAACATTTAATATAAAGCAAATGCAGGCTTTTACAATGCTAAGATCGGCATTGAAATCTACAGAAACGTCAGAGAATGCCAAAATTAGAATATTCAGCACCAACATGAATCATCAATAGACTGTTTAAGGGAAACGATTAAGACATTATGAAATCCCAGTTTAGATCGACATCATTATAAAGACATTGTACGATTGATTGATTGTATATTGCTTAATGTCCCATTCGAGAATTTTTTACTCATATAGAGACGTCAACATATACCGGTGAAGGGGCTTCAAATTTAGACTTATACTCGGCACTCAGAGTAGTGCCAAGGCCTACCGTGACACGGGACCTCGGTTTTTAACGTCTCATCCGAAAGACCCGTGACTTTCACTTCTAGAGCCAAGCGTTTGGCGAAGGAACAGTCTCTACCTATGTTTACGTCTTAGGTTTGACGCGGCGCGGCGAACGAGAATCGAACCTGGGCCTCCCGATCATGAAGTGAGCGCCCTACCACTAGGCTAATGCAACCGACATTGTACGAAGTCAAAAGTACAAATAATACATAAAAAGAACTCTGAATATTAGAATCATTAATTGGAAAACTGGGGTTTTAGAAGGTTGTCCCCTTATTTCAAACACTATTTCTGATAGTTGTTGACTGGGTATTTACAAAAATGCAAGAGGAATTCAGTCCCCCTTCGATTAGATAATATACGACCTAGACTTTGCAGAAGACCTTTCACTTCTGTCTCACACTCTAAGAGACATTAGAGACAAAATAAAACATCTGAGACGTAAAAACCTAAACGTAAAAAGATATAAAGTTGAGTTAAGACCAAGAAAGGAGGAAAGGTAACATTTGAAGAAGATGACATAAAAGAAGTCAATCAATTTTCTTATCTTAATAGAAACAAAACAGGTAAACTGATCTAAACATTTTAGTTAACGTAAACAAAGGAATGCAGGCTTTTGCAATGCTAAGATCTTGGAAGTCTACAGCATCCCCCAAAGAAGGCCAAAATTCTACACCAACATGGAATCTGTCTTTCTTGATATCTTTACCTTACACAGGGTTCCCTTGATAGCACTTAAGCTCTCAAGGGCTGCTCTTTTTGAGCATATCAACGATCTGTCTCGGAAACAGAGCATACATGGATGCCGGTATGTTTGTTTGTTTGTGTATTGTTTAACGTCCCTCTTGAGAATTTTTCACTCATATGGAGACGCCACCACTTGCCGGTGGAGAGCTGCAAATTTTGACTTATACTCGGCACTCGGGGCCATTGAGCTGTGAGGGATCTTTTTTGTTCCAGCATCTAATGCGACACGGGATCTCGGTTTATACGGTCTCATCCGAAGGACCGGTCTCCAAGTCCCACAGTGGGATTCGAACGCACGACGTAAGGATCAACTCCTTATTCTGCGACTCAAGAGTGGACGATTTACCACTGCGCCACGCGGGCGATTAAGCAGCTGGTATGAGTCACTTTTAAAGACTAGTAATATTCTGTCACAGTTCAGTGATTTGACAGATTGGTTTGTACAGAGTTATTTAACCTGATTATTGTTGACATTTATAGGAAAGTTAAAATGAGCCTGTATATGTGTATACTTACTTGACATTGCAGGAACATGTATAATATATGTGTTTCATGTAGTTGATAAGGCGCAGATCCAGGATTTTTTTCCAAGGGGGGGGGGGGGGTCCTTCCCAGTAAAAAATAATCTTATCCAAAAATTTCTTGACAAAAAAAGGGTAAAATCCACTTTCCAAACGTGAAAACCTTCTATTTCGTGGTGGTGATAGTGGGGTCCACGTTTTCTAGGGAGAGGGGGGGGGGTCCAAAGTCATTTTTTATTTGCTTCAGTATATACTTTTTATAACTCTGCAAATTCCGGGGGGGGGGGGGGGTCCTGACCCAACCCCCCTCTAGATCCGCGCATGTTGATAGGTGATTATTGACAAGATTAATAGATTTGCATGTGTTGAAATAGTTTGTGCACATGTTTTAAGTTAAGTGGAAATCAGCTGGTCATAGCTGTAATAGAGTTTTGGTATTTTTAGCTTACTTGATAGCAAGCGGCGTGAAGCGCCGCTCGTCGCTTCGCCTGGGCGAAGAGAAGATTCGGACTTTGCACATTGATCCAAACAAATTTTTTTCCGCAGTAACCTGTGATCCCATAATGCTTTTCGAATTGCATCTCGCCGCAAACTACGTTTTGCAGTAGCAAGAAAAGTTCAACAAAAAATAAAATCACATTGATTTATTGTCTTGTTGTAAACTGACAGGAATTGTTTACAAACTTGGTCGTCGTAATTGCGGGAGGTCGAGCCCGATCGTAAATGTTACGATAGTTTGAGGACTTTTGAAGTTAATCGTGTTATTTGTTGTATTAAATGGTTGATTGATTGTATATATGTTGTTTTACGTTCCATTCGAGAATTTATCACTCATATAGAGACGTCACCATATACCGGTGAAGGGCTTCAAATTTTGACCTTTACTCGGCACTCAGAGCCATTGAGCAGTGAGGGATCTTTATCGTGCCAACGCCTACCGTGACACGGGGCCTCGGTTTTTAAGATCTCATCCGAAAGACCCGCACCTTCACTTCAAAGTGGTGAGCGCATGGCGAAGGAACAGTTGCTACCCATTTTATCGACTCGGTCAGTCGCGGCCGAGATTCGAACTCACGACCTCCCGATCACGGAGCGAGCACTCTACCGACTGAGCTACCGTGAACGGTTGTATTAAATGGATTTAGGAATGTATTTGGTGATTACTTTGATTCATAATAGTTGTCTTGTATGTAGTCACGATTTTCCAGCATTTTCCGACGTTTCCATCATTTTCCAGCTTTTACGTCATGGGTTTTTTTTGTATAAAAAGGAGAGATTCAAGGAATTTTTGCTCTTCTGCTAGGATCTTTTGTTTAGAGAAGCCATGTTTTAGGGGTAAGGATTTAGAAGTTAGCATGGGTTGGGCATTTTTGAATTTAGACTTAAGAATGACTTTTTAATTTAATTTTTAGCTCTTCTGAGCCAAAGGCTCAAAGAGCTAATGCTATGGCCATTTGTGTGGTGTGCGTAAACTTTTTAGAATATGGGCCATAAACTCGAGAACCCCTTGGCCAATTATTGTCAAATTTGTCACAGGGTATCCTTGGCCCAAGGGCTCCCTATTATACTAAAACTAGGGTTGTGATCTTAAACAAGGGGAGATAATTAATAGGTAAAACCAAATGTACTGGTTGCTAAAAAATCTTCTTCTCAAGATCCACTGGGCAGATTATCACCAAATTTACACAGAAAATGAGGATTTGTTGTAGATTAAAATTTACACGGGGAATCGCCCTGGGCCAAAGAGCGTGGTCTCAAGGTCACTTCAAAGTTGACCAAAAATTACACTTTATTAAAATGTTGATATTTTGCTTACTATAAGGATTAGGATCATCAAATCTTGTCAGCTGATGCATCTAAGGACCTCATGTTGACTTAAAAGTAGGTCACGGTGACTTACTTTTTAAATTTTGCGGCGATTCTTTTTCAAAATGATTAAGAGGCATATTTTGAACAATATAAGGCCTTTGATCATCAAACTTTGTCAGTTGATGTATCTTGGGTCCTCGAAGTACGTGAACTAAAACACAGCTACCTTTTGAATTTTATGGCTTATCTTTTTCAAAACATCTTGTGTCCTCAGATTAGGTCGACTGAAAAGTAGGTCACC